GTCTAAAGGCAGTGACTTAAGCCAGTAGCTGGCACTGGCAAACTTTTTCTTTTCTCTTCAGATACTTTTTTTTTCTTTCTACAAACAAAGAATATAAAAAGGACTTCTAGTTCATGGGTCCTAAAAAATAGGATATGATATTTGACAACATATTAATGAATAAATAAACAAATGATTAAAAAAAAAAACAAAAAACAAAAGGATGTGAGCTGGATTTGGTCCAGGTTGTTGTTTGTTAAGCCCTGATCTAAAGTTCCATATGAAGAAACTAGAAAGAGAATAAATCCAAACTCATCAGCAGAAGAAAATTATTAATAAGAATGCTCTTGGGTTGGAGTTATGGCTCAAGTGGTAGAGTGGTTGGCTGGGTTCGATCCTCAGCACCACATGAAAAAAATAAAAAAAAATAAAGATATTGTGTCCACCTAAAACTAAAAAATAAATATTAAAAAAAAAATAAGAGTGCTCTAGAGTGTCCTAAGCATGTTCCTACTAAACGGGAAAGGTCTGTGACCTCCTACAATCCAGTGGAGTGGAGATAGTAAATTAGAAAACAAATGAGAAAGTAGGCAAACAACACCAAAAGTTGGTTCTCTGAAAAGACAAAATTAATTAATTTACCTCTAGCTACATTTATCAGAAAGAAAAGAGTGAAGACACAAATTACAGATATCAGGAATGAAGGAAGGGACATCATCACAGATCCTAGAGATAGTAAAATAATAATAATGATAATAATAATAATAAAGAAACATCTGAAAGATGAAATGGAAAAATTCTGGGAAAGATACAAACTGCCAAAGCTCATTCTAAAAACAAAGAGGCATCTGAATAGTTCTACATTTAGGCCCTTGTAATTTATGGGTAAATTCTACCAAATATTTGAGGGTGCAATTCTAAGAATGATTGTACAGAAAACCTATAGAAACAAAAGAACAGAGCCCAATTCATTTTATGAGGCCAACTTTACACTACTCTCCAAACCAGACACCACCACAGTAAGAAAAACAGGAACAATAATGAAAAAAGTTGATGATCTTTTTTTGGTACCAGGAATTGAACTCGGGGGGGGGCCCTCAACCACTGAGCCACATTCCCAGCCCTATGTAATATTTTATTTAGCAACAGGGTCTCACTGAGTTGCTTAGCACCTTGCTGTTGCTGAGGCTGGCTTTGAACTTGTGATCCTCCTTCCTCAGCCTCCAGAGCTGCTGGGATCACAGGCTGTGCCACTGTCTCAGGCAAAAGTTGATTTTTTTTTCCCTTTACAAATAAGAAATAGGAGCTTGGTTGTAGCTCAGTAGAGCACTTGCTTAGCAAGTGTGAGGCACTAGTTTCGATTCTCAGCAACAAATAAAATAAATAAGTTAATTAAATAAAGTTATAAAAAATATTTTTTATTGTGTGGTGTTGTATTTATGAATATATTTTTTAATATTTTATTTTATTTTTTTAGGTGGAAACAATATGTTTATTTTATATTTATGTGGTGCTAAGAATTGAACCCAGTGCCTCCCGCATGCTAGGCAAGCATGCTACCACTTGAGCCACATCCCCAGCCCAATTTATGAATATTTTTAGTTATATAAAAAAGTTAAATTGGTTAGGAAGCAGCCCGAAGATATGTCAATCAGCAGGTATTGGCTCTATTTATTATTGTTATTATTATTATTTTAAAATGGAGAAAGAGAATAAGGGGAGAAGTAGAAATGTGCTCAGCAAGATTCCCTCTTCCTTATTTTATACATTTTTTTTTTCAAGAAGAAGCCCAGCAACTCAAAGGGAGAGCTGCACTAATGGATTTCCACCCCATATAAGGCAGGCTACAGTGGCAAGGCCAGTGCTCCACAAGGAAAATGTAGTTTGGGAAATTTTCCTGCAGTCTTTACCTTGACATGGCTTCCTTCTTTATCCGAGACAAGGGCCACATAGGTGATTTCATGGTGTCTGCAGTACTCTTGTAATTCCTCTTGGGACTGAAACAAATAAACACAGTGTACTGAATAAACACAGACCACCTGGAGCCACTTCAAGTAATTAAGGAGAATGAAAATAACGGTCTTCAATTGTATTCCCAAAGCAATTAATAAATATGCTGATTTCAGGGGATATAAATATTAAGCAAGAAAAGAAAAGGATAAAGAATTTCTTGCCTTCCCAATTTTCCTGATTATTCTAAGGGGTCCTGAACAATCAATGTGGCAAGGCATAGTAAGAGGTTTTCAATAGCTTCAAGTCTTTTTTTATTTTTGTGGAGCTGGGGATTGAACCTGGAGCCTTGCACATTACTAGGCAAGTGCTCTACCACTGAGCTACACCCTTAGCCCTTCAAGAACTTCAAGTCTTAATGGAAGGTGCCAAGAATTAAACAATGTGTGTACAAACAAGCACACATAGTGAAAAAGCTTTGAGGAAAGCAAAAGAACCAAAAGGAATGCTGAAAGGTGAAAAGCAAAACTAAGCACAAAGCAAGCCAGAGAAGCCTGTGGGGGATGCCACTGTGCAGGACTGAAGTCACTGGTCATGGGTTTATATTTCACTGTAAGATACATTTCTCTAACAATCTCAGGTGAAGAGGATGTTGCTGTCAAATGATTAAAAACTGATGGTCAGCACTCTTCTGATATAATTAAAATACAGAATACATAAAATGGACAGCAGCAGTTGTAGAAGCCTCTTGGTAGGTGATATGAATGGAGCAGGAGGGTGGCAGGTTGGTGTCCCTGTTCATCACCAAGCCCTGGGGCACCTTTAGCGTGGGTGACTATGCACTGAAGATGACCCTGGATGATCTCCTGGGAGCACACCCCTTTTGTGATCTGTTTGTGACAGCACGGATGCTATTTATCTAGAGCTCCCCCCAAGTGTGCCACTTTTATCACCTTTGCACCCAGGGCAGGTGTCAGATCTTATGCTGGCAGTGAGGCTGAGGATACAAAGTCATAGATACATTAAACCCAGAATGCCTTCAGAAGTATGGTACATTGGCCAGGGGTGGTGGTGCATGCCTTTAATCTCAGCTTCTCAGGAGGCTAAGACAAGAGGATCACAACTTGGAGGCTAGCCTGGGCAATTTAGAAAAACCCTGTCTCAAAATAAAAAATAAAAAGGGCTAGGGATATAGCTCAAGGGTAAAGCATCCCTGGTTCAGTCCTTAGGAACACTGAAAAAAAAAAAAGAAGGGGGGGGAATGAAAAAGTAAAAGGTAGGCTAGCATATGGTTCTGCAAAGGTGTCTATATCCTAACTCCTAGAACCTGTGAGTGACTACCCTGGTTTATCTTGGTGGGCCCAGGGTAATCACAAAGGTCCTCGTAAGAGGCAGGCAGGCATAGCAGAGTTAGAGAAGATGTAAGGTAGAAGCCTGGATTAAAGAGGGAAGAAGATGCTACAACTGCTGAGTTTAAAGGTGAAGAAAAGGGTCATAAGGCAAGGACTGCAGGAGGCCTCTTCAGAGCTCGAACCTGGAAGATGAGATTCTTCCAGGAGCCTCCAGAGGATTGAGTTCTGCCAACACCTGGATTTTTTTTTTAGTGTTTTTTAGTTATAGATGGACACAATATCTTTATTTTTATGTGGTGCTGATGATCGAACCTAGTGCCTCATGTGTGAGAGGCAATCACCACTGAGTACAACCCCCAGCCCCAACACCTGGATTTAAAACCCAGTGAAAATGATTTGAGACTTCTGACTTCCAGAAACGTAGGATAGCAAATACATGTTGTTTTAAGCCATTAAGTTTGTTATTGCAGCAATCACACTAATACAGGAAGCAACTCCAACCACAGGGATAAGCAGAGTTGGACAGAGTCTAAGAAACAGAGGATGATCTGTCATCTAAGCTGTAACTCTGCATTTCACTCATAGGTGCTTTCTGTCCCATTACCTGTGACCAGTCGTATAGGATTTCTGCCGTGATTCCTGCTGACCAGAGTTTCTGGGTTAAGTTGATAGCCCTGGACATGGACATCTGGCCGACACTTACAACCAGGAGGTCACAGGAGCTTATTGTAACCTGGAGAAGAAATAGTGGTTACACTTAAAGAATGACACTGCAGATGTGGGACAAACAATATGAGAGAAGGTGGCACTCATGGGTAAGAAGGCATTCTTAGAATCTTGTACAACAACAAGGAAGGCTTTGCTTAAAAATGACATTGGGAAAAATAAGACAATAAAAAAAAAACTTTTATATTCCTTTTTTAAGATAGAAATTATTTTAGCTACTATGGGCAAGTAAAGGAACCATTCTTAACTTTGTAGGCAAAGAGGTTTCGTAAGTGTTTGCTATAACTAGAACATCTCCCATTTACATATTGCATGACAGATGAGGAAAAATGAACATCTAAAGTCACCTTGCTGGACTAAATTGCAAGGATTGCCTATCTATAGCCTTGTATCTATTATATGAAAGATCATTTCCCAAATCCTCAGCCTATAGCTGCTACACTGATGAGATACATATGTGATCTCTGTTTCTGGCATACACTTCCTAAAATCCCTAGAATCTTCAAAGTACTTTTTCTATGCCAATGAGGTGACTGACATGGGGACTGGTCACTGAAAAGACCAACACAGGATAAAAGGGCTGGGACTTTCAATCATATCCTACAACTTCTGGGGAGGAAGGGGAAGGGAGATGAAGGTTAAGTTGACTACTAATGGCCAAGGATGTAATCAATCAAGCCTATGTATTGAAGCTTCACCAAAAACTCAAATGACAGGGTTCAGAGAACTTCTGAAAAGCTAAATCTGTGGCATTTTCTGGAGGGTTGCATGCCCTGAGGAAATGACACTATCTGCAGTTAGGAGGAAGAGTAGACAGAAAGAACTAACTTGGAGGTCACCCAGAGGGAGTCTGCTGTTCAACACTGCTTCCTTGATGTGTGACAATACAAAAGGAGAAAATAAGTTTGTTTTTTTCCCTTCTCAATTACAAATAATGCTTTTAGGAATGAAAGATATTACAAAGCATGATCGAAAGTCAAGCTGGGACTTACAGGTTCTTCCATGTTGAGGACAGCAGCAAATATCTTGTCTATTGCAATACTGACACCAACCGCAGTGGGAACTGGCCCCAGAGCCTGTGGACCTCTAAACTGGGGAATCTATGGAGACACAAACAGTTCTGGTTATGAAATACAGAATAAACTGCGACTATCAGGAAAGCAATGATTAATGAGCAAGCTCTCTGTCAGCAACTTATCAAAGGATTCAATGAAGAGTGTGAGTGTGTGTGAGTGTGTGTGAGTGTGTGTGTGTGTGTGTGTGTGTGTGTGTTTTAAGACAGAGAAGCACGTTTAGGAAAATAACAAATATTAAATCTAGATCTGCATAGTTCAATATGGCAAATATGAACTGACAGGTGCTGCACATGTAAAATGCACACCAGCTGCAAAGACTTGGAGTAAATAAAGAACGTAAAATAGCTTGTTGATAATTTTTGGAAGTTTGAGTAAATGTTAAAATGAAATTTTGGATATAACTAGGTTAAATAAAACATATCACTAAAATTTCACTTTTTATTTACTTATTATTACTAGATAATCTAAAATTATATATGTAAGTTCCAAACCAAGACAGAGGAGGTATACTTTTCTTTTTTTTTTTTCTGATGCATATGATGTTTACTACTCATTCATAAGAGAAGTCAGAGTAGTGCTTGCTCTGGTGAGGGAGAGGTATACTTTTCCCTACTCTTCCTAAGTATAGCTAAAAATCCTGGATGTTACATATAAAACAAGGAGACTCTACAAGTGGAGAGAGGCAGACTGTCTAGGGACTGCAGAATGCGAGGATGACAATGGTGAATTCTCAGGTTTGCTCTTTGCTTCATACATCATGGATTAAGTACTGGAGAAACTGGCAACCCAGAAATGCCAAGAGGAACAAGAAAGGGGAAACCCAGTAAGGCAGATAACTTTAGACAATAATTTCCCTGCTCCAGCTAAACATCATAAAAAAAAAAAAAAAAAGCCCAGGCCCACTCCCACCAGTGAAGGCAGGGTGCAGAGTATAGTCACCCTTACCCTGGCAAGGTGGCTTCAGAGGAGAGCAAGCAGAGAGCTAGGATTTTCACATCTGCCTAGCAGTAATGCCCACCACCTCCCCACAACAATGCCAGTGGAGGCCAAGATCCCCAGGATACTGGATTTTACCCTCACCCCCAGGCAGCAAGAAAGTATCCCTCCCTACTGGGGTGGGGCCAGAGGAAGCTGAGTGGGAAGATGTGATTATCACTGGCCTCTTGCCAGTTCTCTCCCCCTACCATGGATAGGTGGAGGCTTGTGGGAAGCAGTAACATGGTGCCCTTCCACCTGGAGGTGTAGATGGAGGCTGAGTGAGGAATCTGGCACTCCGTGTCCATACCATGTAGCATCAGAGATGGCCTGCTAAAGCATAAGATCCAGATAAGTTCCAGTCTCATAACATGAGACTGCAGATGTCCAGGACACATACATCCTACCAAGAACTGAGATATATAAAAGTAACAGAGAAATATTCAACACACACTAAAACTAAGATCACATACCTGTTGGAATTACATGGCAAAGATTTTAAAGCAACCAGCATAAAAATGCTGTAACATGTATCATGAACAGGCTTGAAAACAAAAATAAACAAAAATCTGAATGCATCTCAGCAAATGAGAAGATAAAACAAAACAAAAACCTCACTGAATGGGCCAAATAACAGACAAGAGGAAAGAAATGGTGACATTAAGTTAAAACAACTGAAGTCACTCAATCTGTAAAAGAGAGAACATAGGCTATGAAGTAAAATGTGCCAGAAGCCCAAGGTTAGAGACGATAAAGAGACAGAGTGGCTCTCTCTTTCTCTCTCTCCAAAGAATGCCTGAAAAATTCCCAGGGTTGGCAAAAGACAAACTTGAGGATTTAAGAAAGAAGCTAAGAACAGAGCAGTATAAATCTGAAGAAATTCATGCCAAGACATATTATAGTTTAATTTCAAACTCAAGACAAAAACAAAATCATGAAAGTATCAAGAGAGAAACATTTTTCCTAGAGGGTAAAAGTAATTCAAATTACAGAGGATTTCTCATCAGAAACCATAAACTTAAGGGAAATTTAAGAGAATTTTTTTCTCCTCTTGAATTTTAAAAATTGTGTTTGACAAGCAAAAAGTTTAACATTGTTTGATGTGGATCTCAATGGCATAGAGCAAACACTGAGGGCAATTAGATCATAATTGGCACAGGTAAAGGGATGCAAAGGGAGGGTGCAGAGTATAGTCACCCTTACCCTGGCAAGGTGGCTTCAGAGGAGAGCAAGCAGAGAGCAAAGGGAGGGAGGTTTTTGCCCTTGAGCTATACTGATAATGCCAGGAGATAGGTGATAGAACAGTTCTCTTGATTGTGGCAGTCCTTACAGGAATCTATACTTTTGATAAAATGGCACAGACTTACAGATACCTTGTACCAATGTCAATTTTCTGCTTCTGATATTTTATAGAAGTTAACAAAGGATTGTAATCGCTAGAGGAAACTGGGTAAAGGTTCTTCAGACTTCTCTATACTACCTCTGCAACGTCCTGTGAGTTTCTAATTATTTTTTTAAAGTTTAAAAAATTACAAATGTGGTTCACATTATATTTGTATATCTAGATGAATGATACAGAGATATTCAATTGTATTACTGGTTTAACTTTTTATGTAGGCTTATAAATATTCAAAATAATAAGCTCAGGAAGAAATAAAATTAAGCCAGAACTAATAAACACAGGGTGAGGCCTCACCAGCAGATCATATCTGCCACCAGCTGCAAGGATTTCAGGTACGGCTCTCTGCCTCCGTCTGATAAATGCCACAAACTGGAAGATGATTCCATTGTGCTGTTGTACCTTATAAACCAAGCCCAAGTTGATCAAGACCTAGAGTAAAATGCCACACAAATGTGTCAAGGACTGGAGATTTAGAATACAGAATATAACACTGAAAATGCTGTTTTCCATCAACAGCATCAGAATAATCCATTTAGCATAAAGAAAATACTGAGCAATTTCTGGCATGAAGTCTGTTTAACTGTAGCCTGCCACGCAAGAGAAAATATATTCTCTTCAAGAATAAACATCACTGGCTGGGCTGTGGTTCAGTGGTAGAGTGCTTGCCTAGCATGAATGAGGCACTGAGTTCGATCCTCAGCTCCACATAAAAAAATGAAAGAATAAAATAAAGGTATTGTGTCCATCTACAACAAAACAAAAAACCAAAAGAGAACAAACACCTCTCTGAGGCTAACACAGTAAGAATTTCTATAGAAGGGCTTGAGGATGCAGCTCAGTGTTAGATGACATGATGACATGAGGCTTTAGGTTTGATCCCCAGCACTGAAAAAAAAAGAAGAAAAAAGAAGAAACTGCTGCATGGTAGGAATTGAGATGCTTGCAAAGAAATCCTAATTTAAGCCAAAATTATTTGTAGGTATCAAATGTTCCAAAACATAGAAAGTAGAGCTTTTCTGTTAAAATAAAACACTAGCATTAAGGAAATCAAAAACATTTCCCCCGTGGGCTATTGTTAATGCTACAAATTTGTCCTGCTACTATCAAACAGTTGCCAAACCTGTAACTTTATGCCAAGTTTCTTCAACAGTCCAACAACCTCCTCTAGGTCTTTTAAGCCATACTTCACCAACTGGGCAACACCTGTTTTCTGTTTTATTAGTGAATTTATTGTTGGTGTTAAGTCTTGCAGTTCCCCCTTCTGCTCGATAAACTTGTAGAGTCGGCAGAGCTGGAAAGCAATAGGCAGAGTTAGCAGTCAATCCATGGCAGGGAAAGACTCTTTGTTCATGTGCTCAGGGAGTTCGTACACTTCTAGGAACGGGGATTTTGTGGTCAATGGTAATTTAAGCCTTTGCTGTAATCCAAAGGGTCATCCTTGTGTGATAGTAGAAGCAAATGTGACTCCATTTTGTTTTTGACTTCATCCTGTAAAACAACCATGCCAAGAAGAAGGGTCATGACTGGGGCAAGATGTTCTTTTCCTTTTGCTATAGAAACCTTTAAGAATGCAGAACTACCTATTGGGGCATTGTTTCTGTAACTGGGGTGATTGGGCTGTGATTGGTTAGACTTCCCACCACTTGACTGCACTCTGCTTCTGTAACCTGGCTTGCTTGCATTGGCTAGACCCCCAAACATCCCTTTTGCGGTTTTTAGGCTTATAAGGAATGACCTTGCAATTGTTCAGGGCTGATCAGGGGAACAGCTTTATGTTCTGGTCAGTTGCCACTAGTGTGCTTCATTAAAGGCTTGATTTGATTATACATGAGTGGTCTGGAAGTCAGTTTGTGAAACCCTGGGAGAAGCTTTAACTATAACACTTGCCCCCAAACTATAAAGCACTTCACAGAAGTGCTTCAGACACATACATCTCACTTTACTAACATGCCCTTACAGTTGATAATGACCCCAGCAAAGCAGAGCCTGGCACTAGCAGAGCCTCTATTGTACATCTTCAGCCCACATTGCTGCTCTTTACCTTTCTCATTCCCATGAATTCCTATTAGCACAGGCACACAAATGGAGAGACAAGAAGGCAGAGTCTGTCTTGTTCTAATACTCAGAATGAGTCAGAAAGCTGCCCGTCTTCCTTTTGCTTGAATAATTCCTATTTGGTGCCTTGGGATGTCTTTTCCTGCAGGCAGCCTCTGGATCCTTCATTCCCTTGTGTCAGACCAGGATTCTTCTAGATGCATACTTTGACCAACTGGTTGCTTTCATTCTGTTTGTCTCACAGGAGGGCAGTGCTAGAAATGATCTAGCCTTGGGCCAACCACTGTCTCTGGCACACAGTAGAAGGAAGAGGAAGGAGCTATGGACATACAGCCAGAGAGAAAAATCCTAGGAGCTAAACTGGAAATTACTAAGAAACAAAATTATAGCTATTTTTCAGACTGTAGGTAGAATCCAATTCATCTATAAATTGGCACATGAATGCTAGAAGTTGAATGAAGAATCAGCTTAACATAATCAAATTAATCATAAATTACTTAAATATTTTAAAAATAAGTTAAAATCTTTTATATTTTTATACTGTTTGCTATATTAATGTTTTAAATACAAAATCATAAGTCTTTGATTTATATATATTTTTTCCTATGGCTGGGGAAATAGCTCAGAGGAAGAACCTTGAGGCCTTAGATTTGATTCCTAATACTGCTGGAGGCATAAAAAAAGACAGAAAAAAATTTTTCTTCTTAATTAAAAAAAAGTGTCTCTTCAATACATTTTAATGTTAAATTACCCCATTAATGAACTACTAGAAGTCAATACCTCCAGATTTTGGTCTTCATCCAATCACAACTAACTCCATGTGATGCTGGACAAATCACAACTTTTTGGGGTTCAGGTATCTTATATGTAAAATAAGACTGGGCCAGATACTCAAAATTCTTTTGCAATATTTCTGTTTCCTTTTCCTTCTTTCTTTCTCTCTCTCTCTCTTTTTTTTTTTGTACTGGGGCATGAACCACTGAGTCACATCCCTGGCCCTTTTAATTGAGATAGGGTCTTGCTAAGTTCCTTTGGGCCTCACTGAAGTTGCTGAGGCTGGCTTTGAACTTGTACAAGATCTTCCTGCCTCAGCCTTCGAAGCCGCTAGAACTATAGGCATGTGCCAACATGCCTGGCTTTACTTCCCTTTCTAACATCCTCAGTGTCCATTTTAAAATAAATAAATTAAGTACCCAATGCCTTTATTGATAACATTTTTCTATTTTAAAACTACTTAAATATACAACTTCTAATGCTTAGTATCATCAAATGATCATGGGTACAGATTTAGCAAAAAGAAAAGAAGCCAACATTTACCAATCAATGCAGCTATCATATGCAAGTGTGTGATATTTGTGATCCTTTTTGTGCATGGAATCAATTAAGTGGATAGCCTCTTGATAAGATTCTTGGTACCATTTATTTATACTTGGGACTATTTCTATAAATAGAAGTGTGCTTTGTACATGTGCAGGGTACGTGTAGATACTGTTCTTCATACCTGAACAGTAAGCTACTGGGTTAATTTGTGTATCACTTTTATCTCTTCTAACATTAAATATTTAATGTTTAAGCCAGCTCAGTTTTCAGAACTCCTAGTGCTATGCATCTCATTTACCTTCTCTACCTGAAAGTGGGTTTATGTGTCCCCAGTGAGAGTCATTTTAAAGAGCTGAGAGCAGATAAATGCTACACACAACCCTTTGTGACATTTTAGAGGCCAGTATGAATTAAGAAGTTGTATTGAGGGGTTGGGGTTGTGGCTCAGCGGTACAGCGCTCGCCTAGCATGTGCAAGGCCCTGGGTCGATCCTTAGCACCACATAAAAATAAATAAACAAAATAAAGCTATTGAGTCCATGTACAACTAAAAAATAAATATTTAAAAAAAAAAAAGAAGTTGTATTGAGGCTAGGGGCCTCTCCACTTACTCCTCTTGTGCTCCAGCACTCTGTCTACCACACAGTAGGTATCTAAAAAACTGCGGGGCTTTGCTGGGTGTATATACAATCATATTTTACTCTATCCTACATGTGACAGATTAAACCACAGGATCATGTAATCAAGTGTCAACTCAGAGGCTAGAAGGCTTCTGGAAAGGTTAAAACTCTTCTTATGTAAATATTCAGGAAATGTACAAAAGTCTGCTGTCTTCTGCCATGTAGCCACTTGTTTACTGTGCCAAAGATCTGGGGTTAATCTGATGCCTGTAGAGAGAACATGACCAATCTGTTTACCCCACAATATTTTCTTATTGCTGATGGAATTGAATATAAGATTATAGGAGTAGGAAATTTTGAAAGCAAAAGCTGTAATTCAACTCTCAGGAGTTAGAAGACTGGGGTGGGGTGGAGGGCACCAGTATTTGCAGGGCTCTGTGCCTCCTTCTGATCCCATATGGTCCATTTCAGAAAAGGACAACTGGCACTACCTCTGCTCAGCAGGAGACTCTGGTAAGCACAGGCTGTGTGAGGGGTGAAAAGAAAGGATTTAGTGATCCAGAAGGAGCAGGATGATTACAGCACATCAAAAAGAAGTGTAGAGAGACATTTTTGATCATAGTGTTAGTTTCTCTCTTCTAATCCCAGAGGTTGCTATGGTACCTAATACTCAAGGGAAAACTGTGTCTTCGAGGCAGCAGGAAGTACAGCTACCTCACTGCTACAAGAATTTGATGACATTTTCTTGCATCATAAAATTACAGAGAGAGCTGTAATAACACCATAAGAAAGTACTTACGCTATTAGATGACAAAGACAGATTACAAAATTTAGCTTCCACTTCTCTTCTTGTTAGCTTCTCTGTCTAAAGCAGAAGAGAAAGAGAACAATGAGAGTCACCTCACTGAACAAGACAGAATTTCCAGGCGAATTCTGACACTCATATCCTTCATTTTGGACAAACTATTCCTAAAAATAAAGGATGCATTTAATTCTGTGAATAAAGAACTCTTCCCCCCAGGTTACATAAAACATAACCCACACTATTTAAAAATTATTTTTAGAAGGAAAGTTGCACTTACGGAATGGGGTGGAGACCCAGCTCTTGAGAGGCTTTACCAGGGCATTTCTGTTTAGGTGGGGAGGGAGTCATTTTGATCTGTGTTCCCTTAATAAAAGCTCACGTCTGAATACTTCATCCCATAACAACTACAGCCCTTCTGCACAATCCCCAAGGCTTCTGCCAGTGTCCAACTGACATAATATTGTATCTGTCACTGCCAAACAGTTGCAGCACTTTGAGGAGAAGAGACCCACTAAGAAACAAATAAAAGCCGGGTTGTGTGGTGGGTACATGCCTATGATCCCAGTTGACTGGGTAGGCTGAGGCAGGAGCAGGAGGATCTCAAGTTCGAGGCCAGCCTCAGCAATTTGGTACCTTAGTGATCTTAGTGAAAACTTAATAACTTAGTGAGAACCTGTACAACCCTCCTCCAAAAAAAAGGTTGGGAATCTTGCTCAGTGGTAAAGGGCCCCTGGGTTCAATCCCCAGTACCAAAAGTTAAGTGTGGACCCTTGATGTGTACCAGACAGACAAATGAAATGCTAGTCAAGTCTTTTGGTATATAAAAAACAATAAGCCATTATGGACTTCTATTATTCATTCTGCTTTAATCATAGATTATTACTATTAGTTACTAAATCTCCTGGATGTCTCTTATTTATTATGAAAAAACTAAGCATGAAAAGAAATTAGGAAATATAAACATTCACCTCCCTCCCAACACCAGAATATAACACTAACTTATTTTTAAAATATTTTTCTTCCAGGCTCTGCATGCACATCCATAGTATAAAGTAAGGAATACTATGGTATGACTAAATCAAGGAAGAGTAACTAGAGATGCCATAGCCCTCATTCTACAGGAAAAGAGCAGGTAATGAGGCCCTACCAGATATCTAGGCCCCTAATTCAAATCAGTATGATCTATAAATGACTTAATTGATAAGCATAGGCAGGCTAAAAGAACAAAGGGAAGGGTATAGATCTTTTATTCCCAAACAAGCACTCTCTCTCTTGCCTCCGTAAAGTAGCACTGTCATGAAAATGAAGTGGGTTAATCCACATAAAGAACTTTAAAACAATCTGAACCCAGATAGGTGCTCAGTAAAGGTTAACTATTTTAAAAATGATTACAAGCAAGTACCAAAACCAATTAGTAGGTGATTTCTTACCTCTTGAAGTGAGTTATTAAAGAACATTTTTTTTCTTTTTTTTTTTAGGTGCTGGGGATTGAACCTAGGGACGCTTAAACTCTGAGCCATATCCACAGCCCTTTTTTGTATTTTATTTAGAGACAGGGTCTCATTGAGTTGCTAGGGTCTCTTGCTGAGGCTGGCCTTGAACTCATAATCCTCCTGCCTCAGCCTCCTGAGATGCTGAGATTACAGGCATGTGCCACCATGCCTGGTTTAAAGAACTTTTAGTCTCTTAAAAATTTCACCCTTTGGGCTGGGGCTGTAGCTCAACAGCAAAGTGCTCACCTGAAATGTGTGAGGTCCTGGGTTCGATACTCAGCACCACATAAAATATCCTGGAGATTACTAGTAGTACAGGGCTTAGTATAGAATAAAACCTCAACCAATCCTTGCTAATTGTTGATAATTAAAGCCCATCAGTTCTTTCATCTTATAGCAATGAAGAAAGGAGATAAAACTCACAATTTAGTTTTATGGTTGCAATAATAAGAAAATAATCATAGACTATTGTTATTATCTTTCAACATCAAATCAAAGTAATTACATGCTTACCACAGCATCATATAGAATAACATAGACTTGACTGAGTTTATCTTCTGGGATCCCACAGTGTAAGAGTATTGCTTTCAATAACATTGTATGGTTCAAGTAAATACTGTAATTTCTTTCCTGGGATATGAAGAAAAATTATTATTATTTTTCATTATACAAGAATACAGGTATATGGCCAAATCTAGAATCTTACTGTGAATTTATTACCCTAAAATCACAGAAGTACTGAATTTCAGCATCTTTCCTTCTAGTTTATTCTTTCACATACATTCTTTTTACATTGCTATAGTTGAAGAATATGATAAAGTTTAACACTTTTACTACGTGCATCATAATACTCTTGCTGTTCTTTTGCCATGTTAAAAAGCCCGAATCCATACAAATTTCAAACAAGGAAAGATCTGGTTCAGTAGTAGCTGACTTATAAGCACAGGCTGATGGAATAGTTATTGTTACTTTTGTCTACATCAGTCACTTAATGAGTGTTCAGAGTGCTGAGCTGGGTGCTGAGTTTGGGCAATGAGGTATAGGGAAAAGTGGAACCATGGGCTCTGCACTGAAACAGTACACAATACATTTGAAGAAAACACCACAAATCAAGGGAGTATGTGGATGCCTCATGTCAAGAGTCATGAAAGTTAAGAAAAGGTGTCAGTCAGGCTTCATAGGGAGAAAAGGGCCCAAACTTTGGCTGGGTAAAGAAAAGCCTGTTTGGACAAGGGGTCACCTGTGACTGGTAGTGGCAGTAATGCAAGGCATGTGTGGGGGACGGGGAAGGATGCCAGAGGAGAGCTGGCAGCTTTACCCAAGACAAGATAGTGTGTGAACATGGTGAAAAGGCATGGGGAGCTAAGCGAGCAGATGTAGGAGGAGCCACTAAGGGTTCTGATTTCTTGCATTTTGCAATAATGTGCAGAGAAGCAACACTGTCTTCCTAAATAAAACCAGTTTCTGTCATGGTGGAAGTGAGAGCCCAAGATGAACCTCAAAAGCAACATGATCAAACCTTTGAAGCTACTTTGGGAAAGATGTCATTCATTGTCTGCAGAAACCGAGAAACAGGTCTGTGGTTGTTGTAGACACTTAGTGAATGAAACTAGCAGGGCAATCTCAAAATGTTAAAATTTGGAAGGAACCTGAAGTGCTGGAAACTCTTGGATAATCTCGTAGATAGTATAGATGGTTTCAGCAGTGGGCAGAGAGCTGTTGGTAGTAGAAGTGACGATGTCAAATGCACATTCTAGAAGTTCTTTGGGATGAAATCGATCTAACTTGCGGGGTCTAAATACACGTTCTATGCAGTATCTGAAGAGAAACCCAAATTTCCAAGGTCATTACTTATTAGAAATAAATATGTATGAACAAGATAAAAGAAACGAAGATGAAAAAAAAATCTATCAAGAGGGCTTAAAGACAGAATAGTCTTGCTTTGTGATCTGGGTTCTAATTCCCAGTTTTGCAATATTAAACTATGGAGCTTAGTTTTTTTGTGTTGTTTTTTAATGTCTGAAGTAGAGATGAAATTACACACAAAACCAATTTTACCTTAAGTGATTGCTTTCTACACAGACACCCACACCTTAGGACTGACTCTAATTGCTCACTTGTAGCTAGAATAAAGCACATGAAGAGCTTTCATTTGAAGAAAGAAGCTGGAAGGTAGGGCGCCTCATTGACAACAACACTGGCTTCAATTTATGAAGATCTTGGTGTTTGACCCCTGTGGTATCTGAATATACAGAGAACCTGTCCTCAATGCTAAGTGCCAGGAGCTGCTCAGTGCTCAGCATTCCCGCTGGGTCGACTCCACTTTTTTACAAGTAGCTTTTGTTCAGTTACCTGTGTAGGCAGTTTTCACACAGAGACCACAGGCTATTTGTCCCTCCAATTAAATTTTAAAAGGGGCCATCTGTGATCAAGAATAGCCAGATTTTTTTCCCCCCAAGCAACCATTTGTGAAAATAATGAGCTGTGTATGTTGCCTGGGGACATGAAGAAGGCACAGAATAGATGTCAGGTCACTTAAATGCTACATTCCTTCTATAGAGGGTGCTGAACTCCCAGTCCCCTGAGAGAAATGGGCACTGGGGCTGGGCTTTCTGACCTTATTACAAGCTCAATACTTTCAGCTCACAATTCTTTACTGTACAGGAGTCATGGAACATAAAATATTCTTCCCTGGTTTCCTTCCCACAGCTACCAAATGGAAGAAAGCCTCTATTGTTTCTTACCGTTTTAAATTCAATATATTATTTCTTGCCACATATCTTGCAAAAGGGACCTGAGAAGTAAATAAGATTTTAAAGGTCAATGTCAAGATGTGCTAACAATTATATTCTTCCAGTTTTAAAAATATCAACTTTATTGACATATAACCCACATACCATAGAGTTTATCCTTTTAAAGTGTACAATTCAGAGGTTTTATTATAGGCAAGCAATACACAATGATGTTTAGGTTAATGATGGAAAGTATATACAACAGTGGCCCTATAAGAGTTTATCACAAAAGGATGTTGTAGCCACCTTAGTTTATGTAAAAAGTACACTCTAAGATGTTTACACAGTAACAAAATCGCCTAATGATTCATTTCTCAAAATTTATCCCCCTCATTAAGTGACACATGAAGGTAGTGAGACTTGTGCACCTCTCACACTCCTGAAATGTTCCCTAATACTTCAGTTAGCAGTAGACTCCACTGCTAGACACCAATCTGTCACTGAGGCATTTCCTAGGTTATTTAAACTTGAGGAAAATTTACTTTTAGTTGAATATATTTTGCCACACACACACTCAAGCATTTATTTTTTTAAATTGGGCACTTTACCACTGAGCTACATCCCCAGTCCTTTGCTGAGGCTGGCATCAAACTTTCCATCCTCCTGCCTCAGCCTGCTGAGTTGCTGGTATTACAGGGGTGCACCACCCTACTTGGCTTTGCCAAATTTTTATTATGCCAAATTAAAATCTGTGCAAGTTTTTGGTTATCTATGAATTTAAAAAAATGTCATTCATAACAACGCAATAAAAATAGGTATTATCTCTTATGGTGAATTTCCTATCAATTTTTTGGGAATTTTTTTTTAAGTGCTGGGATCTTGAACCAAGGTCCTTGCACATGCCAGGCAAGTGATATACACTGAGCTACATCCCCAGTCCAAGATATTCTTAATAACCACCCACAAAATTACAAAACCACTGTCTGATTGCCCCAAGAATTCTAACACATTATCAATAGTTGGGAAATTATTCTCAAAAGATAATAACTTTCCCCTACCCAGTACTGGGGATTGAAACCAGGGGCTCTCTACCTGAATTACATCTCTGGTCCTTGTTATTTTTTATTTTGAGACATGATCTTGCTAAGCTCCTGAGGCTGGCCTTGAACTTGTGATCCTCCTGCCTAAGCCTCCCAAATTGCTGGGATTATAGGTGTGCACCACCATACCCAGCAAAAGCAATCACTTTCTATTTTTTGTAGTTGAATATCAACTTGCAGGGAGCATATGCTTAAAAATCTCACTTAAGTATCAGTACTTAGAGAATAAGAAGCCAGTTTTAAGTATAACTATGTAACTGTACTTCTACTCTTTCTTTAACAGGGCCCAAATATCAGTTATGTGATTTGTCTCTACCCCAAAACAATCCCCAACTACTTTCCTTACACATATACGCACACACAGGATATAATCAGGTAGTTCTCAGAAAAATTCACAATGCTAATAAACTTAAAAAAGATGTTCAGTCTCACTAGAAATGAGAAGCTATCTCAACTTCACTCATCAGACTGGCAAAAGATGTTTAAATTAATATCATCCATATATGACCATGGTATAGGAAAATAGGCACTTTCACACACAGCTGATGAATGCTAGTTGCTAAAGCTTCAGAAATGTAACCTGAAACTTTACAATAAAATTTTCAACAATATTATGCAAATATTATACTTGAACTAGCAATCCCACTTTGAAGAATTTATTAAAAAATAAAAACATATTAGTGTATGAATGTTAAAAGGATGTTCATTGCCATATTATTGTGGTGGCTCAAAACTGAAACCTGTCTGCATGTTCATCAACAGTAAAATAGCTGAATGATTTGCTATCAATATTACAGAATATTAAGGAGCTATTAAAAAGAAAGTTTAGATTTATATTTTATATAGATCAAGTATATATATGTATATAAGATGAAAATGTGATACATTTGCATCTATATTTGATATAATATAGATATTGAGATACATTTATATCTCTATTTGACCTATAGGAATCATTAGATTAAAAGAAATGTAAGTTTCAATAGAATTTGAATATTCCATTTTGCTATAGAGAAAACAACATAAAAAACCCCCAAACCTATGTGTATCTAAGTATAAGTGTAGAAAAGGAAAATAGAAGCTAAGAACATGGAAGGATAGGCTGAGGATATAGCTCAGTGGCAGAATGCTTGCCTAGGGACTCACTCATGCTAAGCACCCACTCCACCACTCATGTCTCTATTTATAAGTGCCTTGTTTAAATTAGGGTTTACTCACTCATGCTAAGCACCCACTCCACCACTCATGTCTCTATTTATAAGTGCCTTGTTTAAATTAGGGCTTAAACCCTTGCCTGTCATATGTGCCGCAGTCTGGCTGGGCACAAAATAACCGAGCCACCACACAGCCTTGTAGATTCAAACAGCAACTCTTTATTCCCGAACTCTCACTGACACTCTACACGCACACTACCTGGGAAAAATACACTCCCTCCACTGGGCTCTGCATACCAATTCTCTCAGAACCCGGTGAGAACTCAACAGGGAACTCCAAAGGAGCAGGCGCCTGAGGCAGCAGGAGCCGCCCTATTCCCAGCAGGATCCACCCTAAACCTGAAGCTGCCCTATTCCCAGCAGGACCCACCCTAACCCCCCCCCCAGCCACCCTAATCCCTGAGCAGGGTCAGCTTTCAACCCAAAATGCCATGGGTCATTCCTACTTGGCTATGGCTCTCAGCATCATGCACTCATGTTTTCCTCTGATCTTCGGGTACTATCATACACATAGACGGGCTTGACAGTAGCTAGCACTATGTAGGTGAATGATTGGTAAAACTGCTACTTAGGGAGTCCTGGGGGTCAGAATAAGCAAGCATGGCAAAAATCAGTGTGTAAAGGTAAAATTTCTAAGCTGATTCCAAGCTGCAAGAGCTTGAGTTAAAGTGTAAAAGACTAGGCATTGTAAAGCTTCTAGATTACAAGGCCTGGGCTAAAAAGTAAAAGACAATTGTTACAATTGTAAAAGTCTATTGTTACAATTCCTCTGCTACCCCCAGAACCTGTAATCTCTGAGTTGTTAGGACAATGCAGAAACTGCCCAGTAAATATCTCCATTGATTCCCTGGTTGTTTAATAGCTAAGGGCTCCAGGTACCATGGCATGTAAGCATCTAGGCTCCAAAACCAATCAGTTTAAATTTGTACCCCGCTTAGAAATGACCAATCACCCCTGCCCAGATTGTTCCCGCCAATGTATGTACTAATTCTGTTTCAGAGTTGTTGTTCAATTTTCCCGCGCCTCATGATGATTTGTTCTGATGTATGCAAAGCCCCCACCCTCTCCAAAAAGTGTACTTAAGCTCCGCTTGACCTCTGCTCTGGGCTCTGGGCTGCTCTCCCTTCTTGAGTGAGCACAGAGCCCCAGCGCGCTGGAACGGATCCCCAATAAATTCCCCCCTGCAATTGCATGAAGTAAGTCTCTTGTGTGGTGTCTCCCTCCGACGCTCCGCTGCACCCCAACAAGTGCACCCAACTAGCAGCAACACTTGTTACAAGAATGTAATTGATTTGGAATGTTAACATGTTAGAATTTTACTAAAGAATTAGAAAGTAGAAAATACCCTGTATTTATTTGTCTGAGTTGACCAGGCTAACCTGCTGTGGTCACTCAGCAGAGCTCAACACTGAGATGCATATGTGGCAATGCAGGGTTCTGGTTCCTAGAGCCATAAACACCTGAGGTCTTAGCAAGGTGGATGGCATTCAGGGTCAAACATTTACTAAACTTCAGTAATGCTCTTAACACTGAAAACGCCTGTAAGAATATACTTCCTTAAAGTGACATTTGTAATATAATTCTGGGGGAAAATATCTGGTAATTAACAATGAACAGATAAGCCATTCCTGTAAGCAGACACAGCACCCAGATTGTCAGCAGAGCATTCTGAGCCTTACCCGCAGGTCGAAAGGAAGCATCACCAGCATTCCACTGTGGTCCATGAACACAGCTGCTTCATTGTGCTCATATATTTGTTTATTTCGGGGAAGCAGTAGTGGGGTACACAACTGGACAGCTCCTAACCAAATTAGAAAAAAATCACTAATTATTTAGGTTCTTATTCTCCCTAGGAGGCAACTTAAAACAAAATCTGATAGCTAAGTAACTTGCTACTGGGACCATTGAACTCAGCTTTTCTTCAGTTCTCTAAATTTTACAGGTGGAGAGCTCATCTAGGGCTAAAATTGTTAATTCTGTCATAGTTCTGACTCTACAAGCCAACTGTATTTTAATAGCAAGTTTACAATATTCAAATTAGTTTCTCTTCAGCAAGGCAAGTTATAAAAATCAGTCTAAATTTAATGATGTCAATTGCTTATAATTGAATTTTAATATATGGTTGTACCAAAACCCTCAGATAGCACTTATTATTAATGACAAAGTCTTATGGAAAAATATGATTTTTTAAAATAGGTCATACCATGCCTTTTAAAGATGCGGATGATAGTTTCACACACATGTTGTTGTATCTTGGCTGTACGGATTGAGAAGTTGCCCTAAAATGAGACGAATTAAAATGTCACCATCAAAGCCTAATTAAAGATATCCCCTAGAAACCCTTTCTCAAAAAAAAAGGGCTGGGGATGTGCCTCTGGCTTTAATTCCTGGTACAAAAAAAAAAAAAAAGAGAAACAACAGATAAGCAAAAAGACACAAATAAAAAAGTCATCAATAGCCCTGCAAATAAGTTTCTAATATTGCCAACCAGAAAAAACTGCTTCTTAAAATCTATGTTGATCATCCACAAGTTTTACCAGTACTTCCTCTATTGGTCTTTTAAAATTGCATCATGTTAATCATACAGAACATAACCAATATCTGTTATATACTCAGTTGACTTTATCAGATTTTAACATTTTGTTATATTGATTCAGGTATTTTTTTCCTTTTTAAAATTTTTTAAAAATTTGCTCTTTTTAGATATATATGACAGTAATATGTCATAATATGTCATATTACACATACATGAAGTATAATTTATTCTAATTAGGATCTCATTCTTGTGATTGAACATGATGTGAAGTTACACCAATCCTGTATTCATATATGAACATAGGAAAGTTATATCTGATTCATTCTGCGTTTCCTATTCTTATTCCCCCCCCTCCCTTTGTCTAACCCAATGAACTCCAACCCGCCTCCCACCTCCACCCTGTGCGCCTTATTGTGTGTTACCATCTGTGTATCAGAGAAAAGATTTGGCCTTTGGTTTATTGGAATTGGCTTATTTCACTTCAGACATTTTAAAGAAAAAAAAGCAACTCAGTTACACTTACACCCTGGCAGCTTTAAAAAAAAAGAAAAAACTTTTTTTTTCACTAGGGATTGACCTAGGGCCTAGCATATATCAAACACACATTCTATCACTGAGCTACATATGCTCCTAGTCCCTTAAAGAAGATTCTTTTTCCTTTCTTTTCTTCCTTTTTCCCCACCCCTTTTTTCTTGTTTAAAGATGGGATCTTGCTATGTTGCCCAGGTTGGCTATGCATTCAAGCAATCCTCCTGCACCACTGTACCCAGATCCTTAAAGAGACTCTTAAAGAGCCTCATACCTGGAGATAGAAGCTAGAGATGCTGGGGAGCCTTGGGCATCTGTGTTGACAGAAAACCTCCCAAGTGTCGGGATAGGTAACTCCACTGGGAGCCGCTCTACTACTTAATCTGGATCTGATTGCTTGATGTTTTTGGCCATAAACAGCAGAGCTAGGGAACAATACCTTAATCTCCTGGGTAGGAGTAGAAGGGGATGGACCTAGAATTCCTTAAAGTAAGGGATTAACAGTGTGGCGGGCTATTCTTTCCAGAATAATGCAGATTAACACTTTTTTTTTTTTTGAGAGAGACGAGAGAGAAATTTTTTAATATTTATTTTTTAGTTTTCGGTAGACACAACATCTTTATTTTATTTGTATATGGTGCTGAGGATCGAACCCAGTGCCCTGAGCATGCCAGGCACACTATCACTTAAGTCACATCCCCAGCCCAGGTTAACACTTTTTGCATGTACAATTTGGGGCTTTTTGGAGCTCAGTATATGGTGGAGGCATTAGAGGAATCCATGAGAAATAAGAACCTGACTTGATCTTTTGGTGGACCAGGTTAAACTCTCTGTGCTGTGGAGCTTAGCTCACCTTCAGTATGTCACTATCGTAGGTGTAATCGATGGCAGGGGAAATGCGCTGGGAGAAGATCTGGGCCATCATGGTGCGGTAGGCTTTCCCATCCACGTTGGCCAGCGTGTGATGCAGTACTTCATGCAGCTCAGATTCCTCCATCTGGGGTGGGGGAAGCAGCTCACTCTTCAGCAGTTCTGTGGCTGTGGGACGTTTTGCTGGGTCATGGTTTAACAACCAGGAGATGACAGATTTCTATAATGAAACCCAGGCATACAGCTGAGAGGATGCAGTAAATGATGCTCAGAAATCATCCTGACAAGCTGATGGTCAATTCAGGTCAAAGAAAAGGTACCACACTTCTTGCACTTAGTAGGGGCATTTCAAAAGTTTTTTTTTTTTAATTTCTAAATATGTCATTTACCCCCTACACCTTGTTATGACCACAGAGTTGTGTAATAATTTAACAGTAGTATTTCTTAAAAGGCAGAAGCCTTTAACATTTCTTGTCACAAACAATAAAAAAAAAATTAACTCAGTAAACATAGAAGTAGAACTTAGGGGTTGTGGGTGTGGCTCAGTGGAGGGTGCTTGCCTACCCCATGTGAGGCATTGGGTTTGAGCCTTAGTACTGCATAAAAATAAATAAATAAAAATAAAGATATTGTATTCATCTACAACTAAAAAAATTTTAAAAAGAAAGAAGTGTAACTTAGGTCTTACAAACACACAAAATACTACATAGAAGACATAAGCACAGAAACCAAATAGCTCTAGATGCGCAGTGTTAGTGATATTATAAACATACTAGTTGCTAGAATCCTTAAAGCATATTAAACATACTGTTTTATTTTTTCTTCTCCATTTGTGTTATTTGTACTGATATCAATCATTCCCTCGAATTCTCTCAATTTATGCTATTTATTGGTTATACTTCCATAACAGGGAGCCTCTTGAAGAAAATCTAAAACTTGGAAAGGTTGCTTAACAATTCTTAATCCTCTTGTTCATAACAGGATTTATTAAAAAATGTTAGATGAACATTTGAGATCAGAAAGCCTCAATTTTTACTTGGGCGTGGTGGTGCATGCCTATAATCCCAGTGGCTTAGGAGGCTGAGGCAGGTGGATTGTGAATTCAAAGACAGCCTTAGCAACTTAGTGAGGTCCTAAGCAACTCAGTGAGACCTTGTCTCTAAATAAAATACAAAAAAGGGCTGGGGATGTGGCTTAGTGGTTAAGTGCCCCCGAGTTCAATCCCCAGTCACCTCCCTCCTCCGACAAAAAGAAACTCTTAATTTTTAGATGTATTTTATTAAACATTTTCCTACTATATATCTTTTATAAATTACTTCCACTCCTGTTTTAGTGTGAAATAAAAACACCCGTAATTACTTTTCATGTAATATAGGAGTTTTATATTATAAAGATAGGAACTGATATGATTCAACTTTTAAGAAAAAGTTATGTAAAACTGGTAAAAACAATGATACCTCATTCAGCATAACAGACCCTATTTTACTGCTAAATTTCTGTGTGTGACAAAAATTATGTAATACTCAGTCTATCAGCATTTCCCGTGTTATCTCCTTTGAGATGAAATGCACTGACATGGAAGGTGGTTTGGTTGTGGTTTGGTTTAGTGTCACTTTAATACATGCCTAACTCAAAGGCTCAAGGGAACCTAATACAGAGTTGATGATAGGACAATAATCCTCATTATGAGAAATGGTTTACATGGTTGCTGTCATTTTGGTTGTTTAATAAAGTTCCTAGGCCACTATAGCTGTCACCATGTTAAAGTACTGAATAAGTACAACTATAAATTCCATTGCCTCAGAAGGCTGAAGCAAGAGGATTTCAAGTTCAAAGCCAGGCCTTAAGGAACTCAGTGAGACCCTGTCTCAAGATAAAGTATGAATATGAAAAAGGGCTAGGGATGTGCCTCAGTGGTAAAGTGCCCCTGAGCTCAATTCCTGGTACTAAAAAAAAAAAAAAAAGTACTAAATAGGACTAATCATGTGTTATGGTTTGGATGTGAGATGTCCCCCAAAAAGCTCATGTGTGAGACAATGCAAGATGGTTTGGAGGAGAAATGATTGGGCTATAGCCTTAACCTAATCAGTGAATTAATCCCTAATAGGATTAACTTTGGTAACTTGAGGCAGGTAGGGTCATAGCTACAGAAATTGGTTCATCAGGGGGTGTGGCTATGGCACATATATTTTGTGTTGGGAGAGTAGACTCTCTCTGCTTTCTGATCACCATGGGAGCTATTTCCTTTTGCCACACACTCTGCCATGATGTTTAGCCTCACCTCGAGCTCCAAGGAATACAGCCTGCTGTCTTAGGATGGAGACCTCTGAAACCGTGAACCCCTGAATACCTTTTCTCCTCTATAGTTGTTTTGGTTGGTCCTTTAGACACAGCAGTGAAAAAGCTGACTAAAATAGCGTGTTATAGGAAAAGACTATGAAATAAACATTTAGTTATGATACCCAGAAACCAAACAAGGGGCTCAATTCAAATCATTACTAACAGCTAACAAAAGAAGTGGAAAAACAACTCAATGTGTTTTCTAATGGTTCTTCACTAACTAACTAGATGTGGTAGAGTGGGTCCCTATAGCCATAAATAAATGCCATGATAAATATTACCAAATGATAGAATGTTAGTGTTAATATAAATAAAGCATACTGATTCTCTTTATTTTATAGGTGAGAAAAATTAAAGTCTAGAGAAGTAGCATGTCTATCCAGACATAACCAATAAGCAAAAAACAGCATATTGTTACAGTGTTCTGTTTCTGTTCTCAATATTCATCATTTAAAGAATTTTTGCCTTGACCATAATTGTCAATAAGAGTCAGTTTAAGGGACAAACTTCCATATGAAAGAATCAATCACTGCAGGCTCCACCAAGACAACCAACTGAACAAAGAAGAAAGGCATAACAGAAGTACAATACATTAATTTGCTACTATTCTTTCACATTAGCTGGATGCCAGTATTATTTTATGACGTGAAATACATAACACCCACACACTCAGATATTTATGTTCTGTGGGAGAAATTATCTTGCTTTAAAATTCTGTCAATCAGATTGTCTAAAAAAAGTCCAACACTTCCCCTCAAAGTAAGTTATTTCACCCACAAAATAGAGCAGAATTACAGTTTTAAATTGTATTTTTGTCTTAAAGCCCCAAGTTTTATCTAAAACAATGAGCTGTAAATTTATTTTCTCCACCCCCCATACCCTCAATAGCCAAACTAAGGGTCCAAATAGCACTTCAAAAATACAATGAATCACACAAAATAACCCTGTAGTTTGTTAATTTTCTCCACCAGCCCTTAGCATTTTTACAGTGTATTTCAAATCCAATAACATTTTAAGTGTTTCATCTTTTGATACTTTCTCCCATATTGTTCCCAGGACACAAGAGAATGAGTAGCAGAAGATTACTAATTGAAAACGAAGAAAAACAGTAATTAAAGCCCAAGTCTGAAGACAGCAATTAAAGCATCAGAAAATTACCTGCTTTGTATGCTCTCCATCACTGAAGTCTTCTGGAAACTTGGGGGACGTGGGCTATAAGAATATTATATTCAAATCAGGAAGTGCTTGGCAAACTGCCATTGTGAAAGCATTTATTCACCATAAGTAAGAAAACCAAATAGAGAAATTAAAATCTGCTAACAGGGAAAGACTGAGGAGACACCTTCTTGAAGCCTGATGCTCACTTTTTCATGTCTATACACATTATTTTTATTCAAACTTCACCTAAATGACAGCCTAGGTTCTAGAAAGTACCTCCTCCAAGGACAAAGTATTTAAAAATCTAATGGTTTCAGAGACAGAAAGAGCAGTTATTAAACAAATAGCTGAAAAAAAGTCAAATAGCCCCTATCAAACTGCTAATATAAAGTAAAAAAAAAATAACATTAAAACCACTATGTCTCCAAAAGGTCTGGTATATAGGAACTAAATTATAACATTAATTTGATGGTTTATATATTCTTGAAATGAAGGAGGAAGCATGAATTTTAAACTGAAGAAAGTTACTTCATCAAAGACATAATCAGCTAAGAGCATTCTGATCAAGGCAAGGTGATAGTAAGCACTTTATCTACTTTTTTCATTACAGCTTTCCATACTGCACTGACAATAAAAGAATGCAATTACTTTCCAAAATATCTAAAGAAGAATACTTAGTTACAGTTTATGACATTTAATTTAGTGAATATTCCTGCTTTGCTTGGCTTGGCAAGGAGGAAGAAGGCTCTCCAGATCTCTTGCTCATGGATATGTGAATCTTAAATTACCATTGCCCAAACCTTACTTTGCACTTTCACTTTAATGCCGTTAAAGGGTACCTTTGACCTCCCACACTGCAATGTTAATCCTTTTTAGCTCAGGCAGTAAAAGAGGTAAGGATTAATCTCAAGAAGACAAATGGAAATTTCACTGGGGAAAACAATTCAGTGGCTGATATTTTCACAGACTATATTAACTTTGGTCATGGTAGTTTTCTTTAGGTCTCACTATACCAAGTCCATTCAGCACGAATTTTTCTTTTCTACAACTAAACATTCCTTATTCTTAAACCCATTCCCACACACTAATAACTGCACTGATAGCATACAAAAACTTTTAGATTCTTTTGTTTTAATGTTAAGATTAAATCTCTCAGACTAACTTAAAAATAATAACTATAATCTAGCAATTTCTCCAAGCTTTCCAAAAACAAACAACACTGGGGAAGTTTATCATTATTGGAGACATGTAAGCAGAGTGGATTTCTACTTATTAGAAGTGCAGAAGACAGATCAACAGACCATACTAAGTGCTGATAGTCTTTGGTTACACAAACTTGCTATTTTAGCAACTTAAATGAGGCAACTTCTCTTATTGAGAAAACATTTCACTGCAAAGGGAGAACTAGTTAGCTTGGCATGTCTCAGCAAGTAAATCATTGTAGTTGGACAACCTCTTCTATATTATAAATGCCAGGAAAATATCCTGCCTCAAATTCTAATCTCCATGCTAAGACTGAGGTTACTAGAAATTTATGCATCAAACACCCAATACATACATCTCTAAGTTGGTTAAGAACAAAGATCCTTTCTGAGGCTGTCACCATGGGGTGATAGGACATCTCAAAGAAGATAATTCCCAGGCTGAAGAGATCCACTTTCTGAGGGGAAAAAAGAATTGTATTTAGAGATACTTTATATGAAAGTATAATTTACCAGAGAATTATAGAATCAGCACTGTTAGTTGAAATAAAGTTTGTGTAAGTGCAAAACAAGTCACACTGGAAAAATTTGACTATTTTTTCTAAACCATTATAGGTATAAAGATTATTTTAGGTTCACAGTAAAATATTTGGCATAATTTTGCTCAAAAATTTTTTTGAAAAGTAACTGTAATCAGTTTATCTATACACATAGATAATGCCTGGCTAAAGACTGAAAATAACGGCTAAAGGGATAGAACAACCAAGGCTTGCCATAATATGCTTTGGCTAGGAATATAGCTCAGAACATTTGCCTTACATGCTCCTTGTTCT